GGAAACATGGGTATAGTATATTCCAAAGCTGCCATGGAATGTATGTGAAACATCTCATTGAAAAGCAATGTTAAGCTTCATCCTGGGCTAGGATCCAAATACATCCAATCGTATTGCTAGCCCAGGAAGTAACAAGCCAATCACTTCACAGCAAGCTCCCTGAGCGGGAACGTCCATGATTGATCCTTATGTGAACAACCTTATTGGTTGGTATTTGTACAGTGGGTGTGGCTACATTAGCCGGGAATGTTTAAAAGCCGGACAGGTGCAATGTAAAGGCTGTTCTGGCTATCAGGTGTTGATCCGTGTTGGAGTTGTGTTCGAGTGGAAGAATAAAGCTGTGTTCTTGCTGAATCACTCTCCGGCTGCTTTGTTAAGCGAGCGATTTAACAATGGGGAAACATGGGGCAGGTAGAAGTGGTCCTTTTGGGCACTGCCAAAGAGAATGCCATGAGGGATCTCCCCTCAGTATTGTCTGTATATGGGGTTTATTTTTTTTTGTGGAGAGACAGAAGCAGGCCCCCGTGGCACCATTAAAAGGAGTTCTCCAGTGCAATTCACGCTACAAAATGGCCCAAGACAACCCCAGGGACACCGCCCCCCCTAGTTTGGACCTTATACGGAAACAGATCATTGGTCCATTTAGCTCAGTATGGTTTACTGCAATGTCCTAAGCTCCGAGGGAGCCACGGCCAAGGAAAACTCCTTCAATTCCAGCACCTCCTATGGAAGCACTGATGGACCTTCATCATGCCAAGTGTGTGCTTTATATTCCCCAGGGGTCTCTCTAATCAGCTTTCAGCTTGAGTGGGAAAAATAATATCAGTATTTTTAATTTTAAAAAAAAATTATATCAAGGAGGATAATACCATAAAACTGTACATAATCCCAAAACATTGCACCTCACTGTTCAACAAATACTATTGATCAGACACTGGAATACAAAGGTTTTGGATGCTGTACCACAGTAGTTCTTCCCCCACTGGGGATAAAAAGGTGTACCTCTGATTTCCAGGGGTAAGCAAATAACAGGGAAAGATCCTCTCTGGTCACACTAGTCTCCCCCTTCAAATAGCAACCCCTATGGCTGCATTCTGTGGGAGGGAAAGGTTTTTAAAAGATGACACTGCACATGGTTCCACTGGAGAAGAGTACATGTTTGAAGGCATCCAAGTGTATCCTTCTTCCCCCCCCCCCAAAAAAAAGCCTGCAAAGAGAAGACAACCATCCTAGAGAGACGGTTAGTCTAGAACTCTTTCCTCTGACATTTCCTCTGACAGAATCCAACTCATGATGATGAACCTGCGACCTGAGCCAATGTGTGCTTATTAACAAGTTGAGTCCGACTGAGTTCTATGGCACTTAGCGTGCTTATGTCTACTGTCATGATCTCTTAGTCTTCTATCTTTCATCTAAAGAACTGAAGGTGCATAAAAATCTAAGATTAAACTCTTATCTTAGATTGTCTGAGACTTTAAAGTTGGTAAGCTGATTTGGGTGTTCTGTGTTCCAGAAGAAAAGCAGCATAAAAGCATTCAAATGAATAAAAAAAATTTTTTTTTACTTCTCTTCTGAAAATCTGTCCCAAAAGAGGGGAGGTTTACAGAATTACATTTCATCCTGTACTGTCTGCATTTCATAGTCCCCTTGAATCTGCTTTTTTTTTTTAATGGTCATTCCCCCCACACACACACACATAAAATGCCTGCATAGTGAAGATTCACTCGTCACATTGGAAGACGTGGGCTCTGGTCCATCTGTGCTTACGCTGGAATACAAATTTTGCTAGTCATTAAGGAGCCACAAGCCTCCCATTTGTCTCTGAAGAGGATAATGTGGTTCAAAGCATCCCTGAAATGTTTAAATTGCTACTTGGTTCAGTAAAAGGAATCAATTCACTGGGGCGTATCATTTTTGGACGCAGGAAAACAAGTGGCAGGAGGCATTAATGGGTGTCAGAGATTCTGAATGGCCCAGAGGCAAAACAAAAGCACTGATATATATATATATATATAAAATAGAACAGATATTCAGGCATACAATAAAGGACGACATAAATACTCTGGCATTCTTACTTGTGAACGGAGCATGCTACACCGTACTACGCATGCTTACTCTGATGGACGTCCCATAGAACTGCGATCTTAAAATGCAATAAATCCAGGGTAAAATACTTAGGAGTAAGAGAAGAGTCCACGCTTCAGTAAAAGCATTTCTTACAGCATAACCACATGCTGGGATCTTTATTTCCCCTTTTGTCCAGATCTTTTTAACAGAACGCTGCCACCATGGCTGTGATTTAAAGGAAGAGACCAAACAGTGGAGGAGTGGGGAGTTATCTAACCTTTTCCCTCCATTCTGTGTCCCATTGAAAGCTTAGGTTTTACTCCCCTGGGGAAAAAATCTTGCAGGTCCTGTATACCCGATCCCCACCCAGGGGACAGAAGTAACTTGGGCTAGTTGACCTAGGAGCAGAGCCAAGTGGAGAGAGTTAAACAGACTCTCCACTCCACATCAGTTGCCCCCTTTAAATGACAGCACTGGAGGCTGCATTCTATTATCAAAAGATCATTGGGGTGGGAAAGACTCATGGAACTACACTTATGACATTTATTTCCACACTCAGAGTAAAGGTCCTTCTCTGTTTTAAGAATAGAAGAACCCAGTTCTCTTGGTCCAAATCTTACACTGAACATTCTGACGTTCAAGGTCTGTGCAAGTAGTCAATAGTTTTTAAGCAGGATGTAATTTTTAGATTCACTTCATGTAGTAGAACATTGAAGAAAATATTTATCAAAAAAAAAAGGACAGCATTTCATTATTTACACAGATATAATCAGGGCACCTCTGGGAAAGGCAGAGAGAACCCCAACTTCAGATGATTTCCCAGCCTTACAATATTGTTGTACCTTATTACATTGGCATCAGAGTGCCTACTCCACCAACAGAAAGCCCTCCTGCGTTTTCCCGCCAAAAAAGCAATCGGGGCAAGGTTCTTATACTTGAAGGTCTACAAGAGGGGGCGCAAATAAAATGGCTACACCCCGTTATGTCTCATAGGCTCCAACGGTCATGACAGTACTGCAGAACTCCCCCATTTTTATCACTTTTGCTCTCTTTTCACCTCAGCCTTCCCAACCTGAGGTGGCACCACTGGATTCAGGGTGTGTGCATATTTTTAAAGAGATCCTTCAACTCACTATTCTTCACCCAACTTATATTGCTTCAAATTTATAAGTGGTAGCATAAGGGTGCTCTTGAAACATGATCCACTTCTAAGATGCCTACAAGATAATAGATGTGTTACCTGATACATAAAATGTAGTTCAGGTGGGGAATAGATAGAGAGTTTCTTAATGTAAATGTGTAATAAGATCTAAGTCAAAAAGGGGGCACTTTCTGTGGAAGAAAGTCAACCATGGCAAAAAAAATCCCCCGGATTCATTGATCAGTTTTTCAGGGGGCTAAAGTATTCTCCCTAGGTTGAATATTGGACAAGGTTCAAGAGAGTAGGGTGATCTGTTGCCTTTGCCCATGTGACCAATCCAGGAAATGTTGTCCTTTTTGTAAATTGTTTTTGTGTTTCGTCAGGGCCATCATAATGAAGCCAACTCTGATATAGGCTATGGAGCATTCACTACATGATCCTAAGGGGTTGGGTACAGTTCATTCTGCCACCACAGCAGTCTGTCACTGTTGCACATCTAGATGAGGCCTTCGTGTGAACTGAAGCTCAGTGAGAGACGGGAGGAAGTGTTAGAATCAAGATTCACAAGGATGGGAGAAAAGAAAGGATGAAATGGGAGCCAATACTCGCCCCAGCAGCCGTTACATGCTACCAGTCAAGGTCTACTTTGGATATACCATTCATCAGGCAAGTTTGGACTTTGGTCTTAACAGGCTAGGGCTCTTTCTGGCACCAGCACTACCCAATGGCCTTCCTGAAAATGTGAGGGGGACCCTCACTTCGTTGGCTTTCTGGAGCCACTGCAAGACTGAACTACTTAACAGGGCTAGACTCTTGTTAAAATCTTGCTATACAAATGACTTCTCACACAGGCAGTCTTCCGGTTCTCCCATTACATTTTCAGGCACCTTCGCACACACACGTGTAATTCAGAACAATAAATCATGGTCTTGAAGTTGTAGCACACAGAATTAGTTCAAGGAACCACAATTAGGTGCAATGGGATTAGGGGAGCAAATATGCTGATCTAGAAAGGAGGCTGTTTTAGAGAATGAATTCCCTCCCCAGTAGACAGGACAGGAAAGAAACCAATGAAACAGAATTAATGAGACTTTCAATCCCTGGATGCTTTTTATAAGATTTAGACTCATTCCAGTCTGTATCTCCTATCTTTTTCTACATTACAACTTAAGGCCAATTCTATCCTTTCAGAAAAACCACATGATAGAGTCTTCCAGCATTCATATGGCTGAATGTTGTAAGAAGGGTTGTGTGTCTGAGCACTTCTGTATAAGACTCGCCGTTACCTTTGGGAAAACTAGTCTAGAGAAATACATTCTAGCCTACCCTTCTCTCCAATATAATACTTTTTAATATGTACAGGAGGGTTTGATTTGGAGTCATTGTTTAAAAAAATGGGTAGCATTCAGTTGTGCAGTCCTCCACCAGCATCCTCGCACGGGTTAGATCCAGAAGGTCTGCTACCACATCAGTTTTCTGAACATGTAGACCAGCTCTAGTAAATGGCTGGCCACAGAGCTGAAGCTTTCAAAAGTCACTTGTGATATGAACCACATAGCGTAAGGCACCTTTAGAATGGTTCGGCTTCAGAAATGTCTAATGAGAAGTCACCTACACAAACATGGAACGTTACAATTCATCCATAGTCTCAACCCATTGTTCCCACAGGGCCTTATAACACAAGCAAGGCATTTTTAACATAAACATTCATGTTTCCTCTGATGTGTACAAAATTCTCACTATGCTCTGACACGTAAAAGTCAAATAACTACCACTGTGAATATTTACTAACCTGGAAGGCTCCACAGACCAGAGACTTCTAAGGTTCTCAACTTTTTTTCCAGCTCTGCTACACGATTACCTAGAATTCTGAAATGAAGACATGGTGTTTCAGGAGAGAGAATTAGCACACACAAAGGCTAGGACATTGCCCACTTGTAGTTATGTCTGCAAGGACTGACTAATGCCCCACAACGGAAACACTGTATTCATATTTACATATTACATATCAGACAGCAGCGTTTGCAGGGGTCATTTCCTGCAGGAGCGCACAGGAGCGGAACTCCGGCAGTAAGGCGCTCAGGGGGCGGGGAGGAGAGGAGCAGGGGCGGGGAGGAGACCAGATTTATACCCCACCCTCCACTACCCAAATGAGTCTCAGGGCGCCTTATAATTTCCTTTCCCTTCCCCTCCCCACAACAGACACCCTGTGAGGTAGGTGGGGCTGAGAGAGCTCTGAGAGAACTGCCCCTGAGAGAACAGCTGTGAGAGAACTGTGACTGACCCAAGGTCACCCAGCTGGCTGCATGTGGAGGCGTGTGGAATCGAACCCGGTTCTCTCAGATTACAGTCCTCAGCTCTTAACCACTACACCAAACTGGCTACCAGTGTAATACATAGGAGTATGACTGCTAACAAAAAAATCCGTTCTTTCTTACTGGAGATTCCCTCCCTCACACTAATTGAATACAAAGTATATATTAAGATTCATACAGCTAAGTTTCAGGTAGTTTTCCTTAAAACATCTTACCTTTCCCAGTTAAACAGAGGCAGACACACACCTACTTATTAACTGGATTTCCCTTCATTTAACGCTCGCACACACTAAAAACAGAACGAACCATAATCGGATGTGACTGAAGTGCTTCAGTGAAATGCCAATGAAAGGACTTACTTGTTGGTTTGCCTCTGATGCTGAATGACCATGTTCTTCTCGTGGATTGTCTCCAGCAAAGCAGTAGCCAAAGATTTAAGATCAGAAATGGACTGTGGTGTGACTGGTAGGCTACATCCATGATCTTCTGATAACAACTCTTGGACTAGAAACATTCAATACAAAAGGAAGCACAGATATGTCAATTTAACTTCAGGGACCAAGAAAGCTGGAAACGACCCTTGAGATTTGAGAAAAATGATTAAACCATTACTCCTGCTGACGCCCCAAGATCCACCATAGTTAGAAATGGAGTATACGCTTTCGTTAATGCGAACACATGAAGCTGCCTTACACAGAGTCAGAACAGTGATACAGCAAGGCCGGGACTGTCTATTTCGAATGGGAGTGGCTCTTGAGTGAAGATTTCAGGTGGAGGTCCTTCTCATCGCCTATTACCTGATCCTTTAACTGGAGATGCCGGGGATTGAACCTGGGACCTTCTGCAAAGCAAGCAGATGCTCTACCACTAACCAACAGCCTGTCCCCCTTCATATAAATGGGGATTCTTTAGGTTGGCTATCAGTGTTCCCTCTAAGCTGAGTTAATGTGAGCTAGCTTGCCGTTTTTTAGCCTCCGGCTCACACATTTTTTGTCTTAGCTCAGGAAGGATGGCTCCAGAGCAAACTAATTTTATGCAGCAGCCAAATCGCTCACTCACAGATTTAATGAGAGTAGCTCACAAAGTAGATTTTTTGCTCACAAGACTGCACAGCTTAGAGGGAGCCTTGCTGGCTATCATTTTTGTTATGCGCAGTTCTACCATATGGGCTGTTCAGGTTCTTCCCCTGGAGGTCTGTTATTCCCCATCAGCTTTTACAAGCAGCCTTGGCAGAAGGAGACTCTAGCCTTGCTTACGTCACAACTGGAGCAACGCAACTGCCTCCCTCCACAACTGTGCCCATGCTGCTCCGACAATGAATCTTCTGCCCATACAATTAAGTCAGACTGCACCCATCTGTACTATGCTGGGAGCCTAAGCAACAGACTGGTGACTGGACAGACATGCACATGCCTAGGTGTTCACCTTTTGTGCCAACATCACGTCACCTGTGTTAGTATGTATCGGGCAGAACAAAAGTTGAGTCCAACAAAGTTTAATTCCGGGCATAAACTTTTGTGCGCATGCGCACTTCTTCAGATATTATTATTTCTGAGCCACACCAAGCTCGATACGGATTGTTGGGTAAAAGATGAGCATTTGGTTGTAATGCGAGCATAACAATCGTTTAGGGAAACACACTGACCTACCCACTTCCCGCAAACTGCTCCAAGGAACCCCAGGGCATAGCTAGAGATAATGGGCTGCCACAATGGCAAGTCTACGGGCTGGATCCCTGGGAGAAGATCTGCTTGTGTGTGGCGGGGAACGATTCTCTTCTCCTGCAGCAGCTGTCCAACTTCCCTCACCCGTGTTGATTCCGGGAGTCCCCTCTTCCCTAGCATTAGCATTTTGGAGGAGCATTTGGGGCTGTTTGGGGAGGAGGGAGGCAGGAAAGTTGCACAGAATTCAGAGGGGATCCAACCCAATCTCTCTCTTTTCACCTCTTGGCTGCGAGATATCTAGTATAAACACAACACATGATGTGACATCATCACACTCTGAGTTCACCCCATCCCTGCATGGAGAGGGAGGCAGGGAAAGGCATGAGGACGTTATGGGCAAACACTGTTTGTGCCAGACATTTCCAGGAAGAGAAATGGAGGGGCTGATGCTCCTCATGTCTTTTAGCATCAAATTCTGTGCTGATTTATGGGAATAAGGAAATCACACTACTTGAGAGTTCCCGCTAGGAATAAGATAGTCCCTCTTTTTATTCAAGCTTCAGAGTAAACACAGCAGTTGTCGGGTTTGGAAGGGAAGAGTTAAAGAAGAAGATGCACGCAGTACCTTGCTTTGCAGAGAGGACTCCCGTTAGTGCGCTGCTATTTGACTTACTATTAGTCTTGGAATTTTTCCTTCTCTCTAACGCATTCTAAAACAAAGAAATTTGTTGAAATCACAATTTGGGGCGGGGAACCACATTTTAAAGAAAAAACTATTAAAGTTTTGATTAATTAAAAAAACCCATTCTTCATTCCTCTTACAAGAGCCCACCATCCCTACAAACCAAGGGCTATCAGTTCCCCACATGGCTCTTCAGACATCTTTGCTCTCTGCTCCTTCTTAGTCATTCTTACGGGTCTGCTCCCTTCTCTTTGCCTGTCAGTCACACGATGTCCCCACTTCCCCTTTGGCTTTAACCCTTTCCTCAGTTTACATTCTCTTTCCTTTCCCTCTTCAACAAAGGTGTTCAGTTCACTTTATTTCTACAGTCCTTAGACCAGTCATACAAAAAGAAGTACACCTTTACAATATCCCAAGATTTTAAAATACATCAGCAAAACATTAAAAGCAGATTAAAATTTAGTCTAATATCAAACTGCTATATCTAACTAGCTACCTTAGAATTTCTGTGATCTGAGAACAAAGGTGGTACACACACCATCTTAAAGGCAAGGCAGAGGGAAGCACTCTTTGGCTGCGGTCAGACACGCTAAATAATCCTCTTTCAATCCACTTTCAGTGCAGTTTCCAACTTTTTTTTTTACTGTGACCGATTTCACACAAGAGCTGCGCCTCGGTCGTGCCTCCCTTCGCCCCGCTTCTATTGGTCAATTTCCCACGCGAAGCCGCATGACCACATTTTGACCTGCGGCGTCGCCCGATTCTTCCCGCGGTTTCGTGATCCTGTTTTTTGAGGATCACAAAACGGTGGGGAAAATCAGGCGAAGCCGCGGGATAAAATGCGACCGCACAGCGGGATAAAATGCGACCAATAGAAGCGGGGCAAAGGGAGGCGTGACCGTGGCGCAGCTCTTGTGTGAAATCGGTTTGTGTGAACTGGCAAAATCCAGTTGGAAAGTGCATTGAAAGGGGATTGAAAGTCGATTATTTAGTGTGTGTGACTGCAGACTTTGTATACTTTAACAGTAAAAACCCCACAAAAACCATATTATAAAATCCCACAGGAGTTCAATACCTCCCCCATACACTCTGTCCCAGAGAGGATGTCCTGACAGAGAAACTTGCCAGCACATTGCAATGTGCAGATATTTTAAATGTTGCTTTGGCAAGAGCTGCCACCTCCTGTGGCAGCCATTTTGTAACAGCCATTTTGTTGCTGCGCCTGCTATGCCATGTCAGAATTCCAAATGTGCTCAAAAAGGTTGGGGACCCCCGGCATACATGATCACTAGAAAACGTCTGCAGCTCCCATTCACTTAAATGAGGTCTGTACAGAATTCCCCAGTGGCGTGTGCCCAATTGTTCTGAAACTGTATATTTAAAATAAACGCTACACAGTATAGCAATATAGGCACCATTTTGAGAATAAATAATCAACATTAAGCGTGGCTTTCAAATATGGCAGATGAGATGTTTTCCCCTTCCACTGATAAAATGGTTCAACGCTCTGGCCAGATCAAGAGACCCAACAGGAATCGTTCACAATCATTTCCCAACCAAGTTATGAGTTCAACCCTTGTAGAACATATATTGCTTTCAAACGGCCTGCTGTTAAGTAGCATTATGTAGTGCAAAAACAAAACTTACCTTATACTTCACAATGTTTGATTTTAGAAGGTTGACCTCTTCTTGAATTTGCTTTAATCGCTCGTGAAGGTATCTGGCAAGTCAGACAAACAGGCCCTAACAGATTACTCCAATATGGCTTAGTATTCCTGAACGCATTCTAAAAACATTGCACAAGGTTCACGTGGGAAAGAACTTCAAAGGTAGCAGTGACATATGCAAGGTTGAGATCAGAGGGGGCTCACAAAGGTGAACTCAGGAGGGGGCCCCTTCCTTCAGTCTGTTACAAGCCAAGCCCTCAACTCCACTAAAATTCAGCCCAGCGTATCACTCTACAATCACCCAGCCCTCCCTGCAGAAACACAACATTACAAAGGGTGATGAAATGTAAGAAAACAATATAGCGGCCTTGTAGGCTTCACTGTTAAGACTGGGATACTCAGGAGCGCTCATAGTTTCTGGTACGAGGAGGAGGAGGGTGACCAGCCTCCAGGTGGGGCCTGGGGAATCTCCCGCTTTTACAGCTGATCTCCAGCTGACGGAGATCAGCTCCCCTGGAGAAAATGGCTGCTTTGAAGGGTGGACTCTATGGCATCGTACCATACTGAGGCCCCTCCCCTCCCCAAACCCCGCCCTCTCCCGGATCCACCCCCAAAGTCTCCAGGTATTTCCCAAACCAGATCTGGCAACCCTAAGGAGGAGAAGAAAAGGAAGAAGAGGAAGAGGAAGAAGAGGAGGAGGTTTTTCTATCCCTCTTTTCTCTACCTTAAGGTAATCATGTTCGTTTCCTCTCCCTACAACAAGGACCTTGGGAGGCAAGTGGGGCTGAGAGAGCTCTGAGGTAACTGGGACTGGCCTGTAAGGCCTCTATCACAGTCAAACCAGCTGCTCCCTAGTGGCTCCCTAGCACTTACAGGGAGGACGGGGAAAGAAGGAAGCAAGATGTCCTCACCAAGCTGCACCAACGCAATGGGATTTGTTGGAGAACTCAAACTCCAAAGGCTCAGAAAACCAGTCTCATAAATCCAAGGTATTTGAGATGAACCACAGGGAGGTCACCCATGACTATGCAAGGACACGTAGAAAGACGGCCTTGAATAGTTAACACTACAGTGCAGTTCTAAACAGAGCTATGTCCTGCTGATCCCACTGGTTTCAATGGACTTTGAAGGGGGTAACTCTGCTTTGGCTATGGTTGCCAAGCAGTGCCTGGCAACCAGCAGAAGAGCTGTGGACGGGGTTGAGGGGAGTCCATGATATGGCATCACATCCCTTTTGTTTAAAAAAGGAAGTTACACAGGTAGTTCTAGGAATCACTGGAAATTCTATGGTTTTACCATAGAGTTTCCAGCAATTCCTAGAGCTACTCTATGTTACTTCCAGGGTTTAAAAAAAAAAAAAAAAAACTGGAAATGACATAACATGGTAGCTGGTGCTGAACTTTAATTTAATTTTTTTTTATTCTCTTCCCACTTATCAGAGCCACAGTGGGGAATCCCCCACCCCAAACAGGGGCTTGGCAGCCCTAGCTTAGAGTTGTACTATAAATGGACCCATCACTGCTGGTGGAAACAAAAAAGAGATTTACTTAACAATGAGAAAGACTTCTGCCTGAAGGTGTGCTGTGATAATTCTATATTTATACCTTGTCTCAGATACTGTAAGGCTGCGGTCACACACACTAAATAGTCTGCTTTCAATCCACTGTAACTGCACTTTCCAACTGGATTTTGCCAGTTCACACAGTAAAATCCAGTTGAAAAGTGGATTGAAAATGGATTGTTTAGTGTGTGTGATTGCAGTATATATGTACCGGCTCTCATTCAAGAAGAGCAAGGCAGCAGGGAGGAAAAACCCAACCATAAAAATAAGTTAGGAAAAATCCATGCTATTTCCATGCTCAGTCCCCATAGCACAGAAGCATCACTGTGGCAGTATTCTAAGCCACTAGAGCACGACATGTTATATCCGAGTATAACGTTTGCAGTTTGATGGTCCGGTTAAGACTAAGGCAGCTGGGAACATTAGAAAAATGTAGCACAGGAAAAGCATAAGCGACTGATGTTTCTCCTTCCAGCATTTCTAGAAATGTACATTCTCTCAGATGCATGCACAGAATCCCCACCCTTCCGATATTTGCTCAAGAGACTGAGTCAGTGGAAGAAGAGCAAGCAGGAGTCACTAACGGCTCCTCCAAAGTAGCTCGGTGTCTAAAAATACTGATTTTTAGTTGCTTCTAAAATTTCAGAAATAGTAGGCAGTGATGTTCCTTTAACTCCTGAATCCATTCTATTAAATTTTTGGCCTGACCACCCATTTTCTCCTTTGCGTAAAGATCTTCTTTCTCTCCTGTTAGTTGCTGGCAAATCGTTATTAGCTCAGTTACGGAAATCTAGGAAAATACCCTCACTTAAGGAGTGGTTCCAGAAAGTGTGGGATATCGTTATTCAGGATTAAATAGCCACACAAATATTGCTGATGGAGACCCCAGGGTATAAAAATAATTTTGTGGAAAAGGGGTATCCTTTTATAGATTATGTAAATGACAATCCCTCTGCGGAATGTAAAATTTCCTCAGAAATATCTGGAATTGATTCCTAAATTTATTCCTAAAATATGTAATACAAATTTGATTTTCGTCTGTGTATGCATATGTCTAAGTGATGTAATTATGTTATGCTGTAGGTGAGGTGTTAGGGTTGATTCAGTTAATAAATGTTTATTTTCAAAACAAACAAACAACAAAGTAGCTCGGTGTAACGAAACCACCAGAACAGAGGCAGGCAACCTTTTGGGACTAAGTGCCAAACGTCTGCACACAAAGATAACATTGTGCCGGCAAAGAAAAGGGCGTCATAAGATGAAATTGAAGACGTCAACAGATGAAAATGGACGAACTCCCCCGGAGTTGATATTTGTTTCGAGGCGTCCTTTTCACACATAAACCAGCTGGATTAAATGTAGCCCTGGATCTGGCGTGTTCCCTGTAAATACTTAGTACTGCAATTGCCGGTGGGTGATTCTTGAGTCCGTATGGAGATTTCTGATTCTGTTTTTGATTGTGCATAATGAGCTTGTGTATTGAGTATGTTATTTCCGTCAGTATATGTCCTTGTCTTGGTAGTATGTTTCCCTGTATAAATGATCTGTGGCTGTATAAACTTAATGGGTTTCTGTATTTGTCCTCTGTAAGTTGTTTTTTAAAATGTCACTTTGGAAATATTGGCAACATTGTGGTAAGAAGCACGTGATACTTTCTAGTAGTAATATAAGGGAACAGGAGAATTTGTACTGGTTAAGGCTGATCAGCCCGTTTTTGATATTGCTGCTAAGAGCTTGTTGAGAGTAACTTTAAAACGTATAGGGTAAGAATATATGCATTATATATATTTTTATTGCATTTACCTGTTTGGAAAAATGATGTAGTAAAGATGGAAACAGAATAAGATGATAAAAATATTGTTTTATTATAGAACAAAGGAGAGTTCAATTAGGAAGATTTGCTATCATGTGGATGCACAGCTGTATGTATGGATTGGTAATTGCATGCTGGATTTGATTATTGCTGGGTGATTTTCCTGTAATGAGTAATTGATATGTTTCTTGCTAGGAGGTTTTATGTGTGAAAAAGACGCCTCGAAACGAATATCAACTCTGGGGGAGTTTGTCCATTTTCATCTGTTGACGTCTTCAGTTTCATCTTATGACGTCCTTATTTTCTGTAAAAGATATTTGTACAATGAAGTAGATATATTGTTGTTACATTAATACAAATCGGATTATGCATAGTTTGCACAGTTTGCAGTAGTTCTATCGTGGTTATTATTGTCATACTGCAACCCCCCTCTATCTATCTTGGCAAACAAAAGGGGTCATGTGGAGAGACAAAAGCTGTTCTTGGCCAAATGCCCTGGGAGCACACTCCAGCCCCAGCGGCCCTCACTAGTGCCTCAAGGGATCACCTCAGTTCCCTGAATGAAGAACCAGCCCCATGTCCCAAGGAAATTGATCCGGCATGCCACCAGGCTTTTGGGGGCTTCACCCCCTTTCTTAAAGGCACAGCCCCACAGGAATTTCTCCTGTAAATGCTTTTTCCAATCATTTAAAAACATTTTTAAAGGCGTGTGCCCCTTTAAACAGAGTGGGGCACTATAGTTGACTAATTCCCGCACCGAGCAAGGGGGTTGGAGTAGGTGACCTCTAGAGTCCCCCTCTAACTCTGTGTCAAGAAACTGGTCTCCTTTAAGTAACAGCTTTCTACTGGCTAAATGGCTTTTCTTTCAGCACTGAGAACTTCAGCCCCACTAGAAAAACAAAATTGCCCCACAGGCCACAAAATCCTGGTTACGGACCTGCAAGCCACTGTTTGGCACTTGTGCCAGGGACTGTTTATCTCTAAACTAGAAGTAAAACAGTTTAAGGCAAGTCTGCAACACGCAGAGACCAGTTTCAAACGCACACAAGGAACCCTGGGAGCTGGAGAGGTGTTTTTTTAAAGGATCGGAGAGTGATAAAGGAAGAAGCACCTTCACACACCTACAGGGGCCTGACTTCTCTGGGGAAAGTCGTGACACTTAAACTGGTTTCATACTGACACCAAAACTAGTTTGTACCCTTCAAGTCCCTGGAGCACGGCTCTTTTGGTTTTTTTACTGGTCTCCATTAACACAAAATGTTAGCAGTGGACTGAGTTTCTGAAATGACAATTATGAACAGCTTGCCGTTTGGGCCTCTTGAGAAGCAGTGACGACTTCTCAGCAAACTCACCTGTTCTCCATGCAGAGAGCATCGACGTCAATAATGCGGTTGATGTGTCCTCCGAGAACATGATTCAGCTCCTGGTTTAATCTGTCAGATTTGTCTTGGTAAAAAGAACGCTCTTCTTTTATGTCCTGAAGCTCATCCAAGGCTGCTTGAAGATCGTGTTGCAAAGTCTCGATCTGAGAAGGAAGCCATATTCAAGACCATCGCTGTGCTTCACTCTAACATTTGGAGCAACTACACGTGTGCACGCGCACACAGGCACACACACACACAAACCAAGTCACCCCAGCGCCTACTGGCAATTAATTTGTTAATCTCTTCCTACTAAATTATCGACCTTGGCCTTTAAACTGCTACTCACTGTTAGGCTCAGGCATGGCATATCCATTTCAATGTGATTTAGGGCAAAATACGACATAACATGGGAGCTGCGGTGGCTCAAGTGGTTAAGACGCTGACCCGCAGCCTGTGGAAGGTCGGTAGTTGAGCAGTTCGAGACCTGAGTGTGCCGCATGATGGAGTGAGCTCCCGTCTCTAGTTCCAGCTCCTGCCAACCTAGCAGTTCGAAAGCAAGGAATTGCAAGGAGATAAATAGGTACCACTTCGGTGGGAAGGTCACAGCGTTCCGTGCGCCTTGGTGTTTAGTCATGCCGGCCACATGACCACGGAAACGTCTTTGGACAGCGCTGGCTCTTCGGCTTGGAAATGGAGATGAGCACCGCAACCCTAGAGTTGGATTCGACTGGCTTTCGAGCAAGGGAACCTTTACCTTTACCTTTTAACGACATAACAGCAGCAGTTCAACTGCATTTAAGCCAGAATCTACTGGAAATCGTATAGAAGTCGGAAGGGGAAACTGAGGAAAGGGCTAGAAAGTGCAGATCCCATCACCAGTTCCGTGTAGTGGTTCAGAGCGCGGACTCTAATCTGGGAGAACCAGGTTGGATTCCCCACTCCTCCACATGCAGCTGCTGGTGTGACCTTGGGTCAGTCACAAGTTCTCTCAGAGCTGTTCTCTCGAGGGCAGTTGTCGGGAGACCTCTCTCAGCGCCACTTACCTCACAGGGTGTCTGTTGTGGGGAGGGGGAAGGGAAAGGAGATTGTGAGCTGCTCTGAGTGAAGGGTGGGGTATAAATCCTCCTCCTCCTCTTCTTCTACTACTACTACTACTACTATGGCTGCCACTACTACAGCTGCTTTTCTCCCATCCTGGGTCACTGCTCGTACCAGAGGCAGGATGCAGGCTTGTAAGGCGCTGTCAAGCCACAGCTGAATTATGGCAGCCAAACTGATTTCCGAGGCAAGGGAGGGTCAGAAGCGGGTTTGCCGTTCCCCGCCTGTCTCCTGGCCTTCCTCGGAGGTCTCCCAGGCAAGTCCTCCTAACCAGTCTAGTAGCTTCCGGGATCTAACGAGATCAGGCTAGTCCGGCCCATCCAGGCCAGGGCCAGAGGAAGGACACAGAGGCAAAAAATATCTGGGTCTACGTAGGAGTAAGCCCCACAGCCTCTTTCCCCCAGTTAGAGCTGGATTCCCTCCACCTTCCAGTTTCTATGCAATCTGCTTCTGTCACAATCCTGGGCCATCCGGCTCTTTTGAGAAAGCGTTATCACTTGATTTTGACAGTCGATCCGTCCTCCGTATCTGACTGTTTGGACACGGAAAGCAGAGCCCGTTCTGCACTCTTATCATACCTTCCCTTTTACCTCCTCTTAATGGGCTTGTTTATTGACTTAGTCTGTTTCGCCCTTTTAAATCTGCTCTGTGTCTTGTGCCATTTTATGTTCTGGCTGCGTTTTTGAATGCTGGGTTTTAAGAACTTTTGTGATTTGTATTGTGTTTTATACCATAGGCCACCTTGGGGCCGGTTCCCTGGAGAGGCGGCACAACACTTTCTCCAACAAATACGAAACCCAGCTTCCTGTCTCACAGAGCCCTCACGAGCTATGAAGTCACAGGCCCTTTCTGCGTCAGATCAAAATGGGTGGCCGTATTCAGGGGTCATTTCCTGTGGGAGCGCACAGGAGCGAAGCTCCGGCAGTAAGGAGCCCAGGGGGCAGGCACATGCAACAAGCCCCGCCCCCAGCAGCCCTCAGTCGGGCCACAAGGAGCAAGAAGCAGCCAGGTAAGTTGCAGAGCCCCCCCCCCAGCCCGCCTTCAAGTACAAGCTCTCCCTCCTCTGTGAGGGCAGATCTGCAGTCCCCCCCCCCCATAGCTAGCAATCTAAAACAGTCCAGTGGCACCTTTAAGACCAAGTTTTATTCAGGTACAAGCTCTCCCTCCTCTGTGAGGACAGATCTGCATGTCCCCCCACCCCCAATAGCTAGCAATCCAAAACAGTCCAGTGGAGCCTGAGTGGTGGGTGTTGCCTTCCGACACACTTCCAGTGATGTCAGGGGGCGTGGCATATGCAAATAAGTTATGCTAATAAGTTATGCTAATGAGCTCCTGCACCTCTTTTTCTACAAAATGACCCCTGGCCGTATTAGTCTGTCTGTAGCAGGAGAAAAGTGCAAGAGTCCAGGAGCACCTTAAGGACTAACACAGTTTTGTGAGTCACCACTCAGGACTGACACTCCCCAAAAGGCCTGTGGTTCTCTCACTTGTTCTCGTGCTCTCTCCAACTGCTGGACGAGGTCTTCCCGCTCGTGAGGTGCAAAATGACGGGCCCCGACTTCCTCATCCCCAAGCCGCTGTTTGGCTATCGTCATTCTGAGGAGCTGAAACAAGCGACAGACATCTCTTTGTTAGCACTGAAACTGGAGCGACTGAGTGAGGGTCACAGGAGAGCCCATAAGCACCTTTTCCCATGTGACACAAATGCAAACCCAGGCTTGCTACTGAGTTTATATCTAGCAAGAGCTGCACCCAATCACAGGTCCTTTTACAAGTCCCTTTACGGCTGAAGCTCGACACCCCCAGGCACTCTTCTCTCAAAAGGACTTCAATACTACAAGCAACTTCAACCACAAAAAATTCACACTGAAGATGAACTGCAGGGAGTTCTACCCTCCGTGTGTGTGTCTATCTAAAAGTTGCTGAAACTGAACTTCCCCCTCCCTGCATACCTGAATTCAATACAATTGCAACCACCCCATCTTTAAACATACATTAGACCAGGGGTGTCATATATGCGGCCCGGGGGCCAGATCAGGCCCGGAGGGCTTCTATCAGGCCCGCACCGGAACTGACCATCTTCCTGCTTCCAGTTCTGCTGCATCATAGGTTGCTTCACCAGACTCTCTCAAACACTCAGCCATTTCATGTTTTCCCCTGGGTCCTAGACTCAGAACTCTGAGCATGAGATTTCTGTGGCGAATGTCAATAAATCAAAAGTAGGGTTGCAGCTTACAGATACACACCTGAACATCATACTCAAGATTGCAACAGCACAGACATTTTGATGCAATAATTCAGAGCAAGAGATGTCAGTCATCAGACACTGTTAAATAAACAAAATATTGCAAGAGTGCTAATGTTTTAAGCATGATTTTAAGTAAAAGAAAACCCTTTGTGTTTGTGTCCTTTATAAATTTTTAATCTCTGCTTCCTGGCATTACATTTTATGATGCACATGGCCCGGCCCAACAAGGTGTCATTTATGTCCGATCCGGCCCTCATAACAAATAAGTTCAACACCCCTGCGTTAGACAGTGTTATCGATGCAACGAACATGACATTGGGCAAACCCCAGGGGGCAACAGAAGACGGGAGGGCCTGGCTTGATGTGGTCCATGGGGTCACAAAGAGTCAGACTCGACTATGTGACTAAACAGAAATCTAGTGCTTAAAACCCAACTGGTGACTCTGGAATAACCGAGACCTTAGCATGCATCGGCCGCAAAGTACTCAATGCCTCAAACACAAAAGGGTGCTCATTTATCATAAGAGATCTTAGATACTATCACAGTTTGTAAAAAACATGGCAGACAAGATGAACCTCACATGAAAATATCAGATATTTCAGTAGTGTTGTGATCTTCGATAGCAGGCATGTTAAGTTGCCTGGACTCAATTAACATCCCACTGTTTTCAAACTTGCTGTCAAAAAGCCATTTTGAGGGCTGGAAACAGAAGTACACAAGAAGATTCCAGAATGAACAGCCTACGGCGTAGGCAGCTCTTCAATCCCCCATACGCACACCCCGACACGTGCATTTTTGAGTAAGCTGGGAGAGAAAACATCTCAGTGGTCCAATTTGCAGAAGGGATGCAGCGTCATGAGAAATCTGCAGTGAAAACTCCCGTGACTTAACATTCCGCAGCTGTGCTTCGGAATTAAAGCAGATCATTATATTCCCCGAATTAGGAGATCCCTCTTCTGAAATTGAGCATCAGGTTCTAAGGCTACCTCAATCAATTTCGGCATGCCAATCACTGCGGTATCTGCAGGCCAATTAAAATATCACTGATCACCCAAGATTCTGCGCCTCGGCCCCATGAAGCCCACACTGGCCCAGCGGCTATTCTCCCCCCCCCAGAAGCTCCACGGGGGGAGGGGCTTGAGTGAGGCGCTGACGCCCTCGTGTCACTTCCATTTTGGCAAACTGGGTTATTTTTGCATACCAAGATGACAAGGGGGGTGGGAGAAAGACAGGTGGGATTGGTTTAATAACGGTTTTGGAATATAGGAAAAATTGCAACAAAAAAAAGCAATGAAACATGGGAGGAAAATGTTCAGGAGGACACAAAAACATGGAGGGGGGAATCGCAATCCTTCATTTTAAACAGATAAGAACAAGCTCACAAGCAGGTGGTGCGAACATGACAGCGATGTCATTTTCACCACAGTTAAGAGATGGAGAGAGGCTAGAGGTGGAGAGAGGTTTTATGTATTGGCACATGGTGCCCTTGTTTGTTAGCCGCCCTGAGCCCATTCGTGGGGAGGACGGGGTAGAAATTTAAATAAATAAATAAATAAATGAAGAAGAAGAAGAGATTGGATTTATACTTCGCCCTTCACTACCCAAAGGTGTCTCAGAGCGGTTTACAATCTCCTTTCCCTTCCCCTCCCCACAACAGACTCCCTGTGAAGTAGATGGGGCTGATAGAGCTCTTCTGAGAACTGCCCTTGAGAGAACAGCTCTCAGAGAACTTATGACTGACCCAAGGTGGCGAATGGAGGAGTGGGGATATGGAGGAGTGGGGAATCAAACCCAGCTCTCCCAGATTAGAGTCCGTGCTTTTAACCACAACACCAAACTGGCTAGTGGAATTGGTGCAAACCCCCCCCCCCCCATTCTTAATCCAAGTTCTGTGTGTTATCAGCACGCATGTTAACAGTGGTCAACGATAAACCAGGGCCACTTTGCATGCTTCCAACTGTTTCATCTATTTAAAAGCAGCTTCCGCCTTCCCTTCTACAAACCAGTCACTCAAATTAAAAACAACGTATTTAAAACAATCAAACGCCATACACAGCAAGAGACCTAACTCAAAGAAGTTCAGACAAATGCCCTCTGAAACAAACCAGTTTTCACAGTCCCTCCTGAAGGCCAGTAAAGAGATCTTCCACACTGCCTTGGAGTCAGGAGGAACTGGTAGGGATGCCAACTTCCAGGTGGGACCTGAGGATCCCCTGGAATTACAGCTCCTCTCCAGACTACAGAGATCTGTTCCCCAGGATAAAAGGTATGCTTTGGAGGGTGGACTCTGTGGCACTGTGCCCCCTCAGGTCCCTGTCCTCCCCAGGCTCCACCCCCAAACCTCTAGGAGTTTCCCAACCCGGATCTGGCAACCCTACCCACCCATCCCCCGCTAGTGGCCAGGGGGGACCTGGCAACCCTACGAGGCAGCCATGCCATGGAGAAAGTGCAGCCATGCATTGAGGCCAACTGTGCCACTCAGAGAGGGGGCACCTTCAGCAAGCATTAGTCCCTGCAGCGTAACTGGTATGGAGGGTTATTGGCATGGAGGTTAAGAAGGAGGCCCACGGCAGCGGCTTCCAGAGGACCAGTCTCGGCTGCTGAATGTTTGAAAACCCAGCAACACGGGCAGGAACTATAACTGTACCTGTCCCTTCCAACTTCTGCCCGGGGGCCAATCGGGTGGCCAGGACCTAGGAGATTAGGGCTGCCAGCCCCCAGGTCCGGGTGGGGAAGCTCCACCCCAAGGTGCGACCAACGACTCACGACTGCCCCTTTCCCTCCCTCCTTCTAGATTTAAAGAACCCTCCAGCTGATTGGGAGGCCACATGCTCCCCGCCAATCTGCTGAAGCCCTTTAAATCTGACAGGAAGAGAGGGAGAGGGGTGGTCGGGTGGGTGGTTGCGCTTAGGGGCGGGCCTTGGGGCAGCCCCACCCACTCCCGGAACACCCCCAACCCCCCCCGCTGGAGCGAGGAGGGGACACGGCAACCCTATATGAGATCGACTCCTCTACACATGGTCAGATTTGTATGTTACCACCGGGGAGTGAAAAGATGCCTCCCCCAGGCCATTTTCCGGTCCTTTTCTAGTCAGAGACTCACTGGGGGGGTCAAATGACCAGGGGAGGAAGAAACTGAAAGGAAAAGCAGAAAACCTCAAAACCATTGGGGAAGCTTGGAAACTATTTAAAACTACAATCCTAGAAGCTCAGAAAAAATATATACCGCAGGTTAGGAAAGGCACAAACAGGTATAGGAAAAAGCCTGCATGGTTAACAAACAAAGTAATGGAAGCTGTAAAAAATAAAAAGGATTCCTTTAAGCGGTGGAAAGCTAGTCTCAGTGAGGCTGATCAAAGGGAACACAGGCTGTGGCAAATAAAATACAAGTCTGTGATCAAAAATGGAATATGAAGAGAATATAGCAAAAAACGTAAAGACCAACAATAAAACTTTCTTCAAATACATTAGAAGCAGGAAACCAGCCAGGGAGGCAGTGGGGCCCTTAGATGACCAAGGGGTAAAATGAGTAGTGAAGGATGATAGGGAAATGGCTGAGAAGCTGAATGCATTTTTTGCCTCTGTCTTCACTGTGGAAGATGAGAAGTGCTTGCCCACTCCAGAACCACTGACTTCGGGAGGGGTGTTGAAAGACCAGAGTCAGATTGAGATGATGAGAGAGGAGGTCCTACGACTGATAGACAACTTAAAAACTGATAAATCACCAGGCCTGGATGGCATATATCCGAGAGTTCCGAAAGAACTCAGATGTAAACTTGTGGATCTTCTGACAAAAATATGTAATCTTTCCTTAAAATCTGCCTCCATTCCTGAGGACTGGAATGTCACTCCCATCTTTAAAAAGGGTTCCAGAGGAGATCTGGGAAATTACAGGCCAGTCAGTCTGACATCGATACCGGGTGAATTGGTGGAAACTGTTATTAAGGAAAGAATTAGTAGGCACATAGATGAACAAAACCTATTGAGGCAGACTCAGCATCGGTTCTGTAAGGGGAGATCTTGTCTCACTAACCTGTTAGTGTTCTTTGAGGGGGTCAACAAACATGTGGACAAGGGGGACCCAACAGAAGAAGAAGAGATTGGATTTATACCCCGCCCTTCACTACCCAAAGGTGTCTCAGAGCGGCTTACAAACTCCTTTCCTTTCCCCTCCCCACAACAGACACCTTTGGGAGGTGCAATAGTGTGAGGGCTCCTAGTGTCCTGGCCCCACTGCTGGACCTCCTGATATCACCTGGTATTTTTGGCCACTGTGTGACAGAGTGTTGGGCTGGATGGGTCGTTGGCCTGATCCAACATTGGCTTCTCTTATGTTCTTATGGAGGGGCCTTTAT